TCATCAGAGCCAGCTTTGTAATTTGCAGTTTCCCAAAATACAGAGGGGAAAGGCTAAGAATAAAAATCCCCTAGTCTGACTCCCAGACTACTGTTGTTTGTTTTTTTTCTCTTACCTAGTTACTGAAACACAAAGAGAAAAGCTGACCCATGAAAAAGAATTAGCACAACATATTAAAGATTTATCTTGACTAAGAAAAGCGATGAAGTTTTTAACTTTCTAATTAGGGGAGGGTTTCTTATTGTATGTTATGAACCAGACTTTCACAGTGCCTCAACAAACACATTGTTCCTGATGTTCTTCTGAGCTGAATATATTGCAAGCTCATACTACTATGAATCAATGTCATAAGACCATTCTGACTCAGTTCAGTGAATTTATTGACTAAGACTACGAAAGCTAAAATCAACTGGCAGATAAAGCAGCAACTACAAAAAATGTCCCACCTACTGTTTTCTGAGCTGATGGATCACGCTTTCTCATATAAACTCAGCTGTCAAATCCATATGCTTTAACTTGGGCTTACTGAAAAATTTGCAAGTATTACTAAATTTCCTTGTAATTTTCTTAGAAAGCAAAATTGTCAGTGGATACTACTAGAAACAAAAGTTATAATTTATATAAAAACACAATGTCTTTATTGGTATATATACCTTTATTATATATACATACATACAATTTATGACATTAACTATAACCACAACAGTTCAAGCCTATAATTATCATTTATTTATTAATACATATTATATTATGGCATATTATGGCATAGTGTAAAATGAATACTAATCATGCCAGCTTTTCTGCTATTTCCATCTTTAAACAGAGGAATTAAAAGAAGAGCAAAATAAACCAATTACTCATTCGTTACATAATACATTAGAGAAAAATTTAAGCAGCACAAGAGCAAGCTGAAGGCTCCTGGGAAGTCTGGTTCATACCTTATTGCACTACATATTAGACTTTCTCTTTGTGTGTGCACATGATATCTGCAATATCTGAGTCATGGCACAGGAAAACAGTGATCAGGTTAGCCAAGCTCTGATCTTTTTTCCAAGGTGGGTACAGAAGAAGGACTGTTAATTGCTCTTAGTTGGCTGAATTGTATTGTACAGCAGGAGTTAAGCTGAGGTTCAACACAGTGCAGAATTCCTGGTCTCCTGTTTTCTCTCTTGGGAGGAGAAGAGGCATCATGAAGAAGTTTTTCCTTGCAAGCTGGGTAGGAGTAGACTGGGAAAATTCTCAGTAGTTTGTCAAGGAAACAAAGGAGACACCTTTAGGCACCTTCCAATTTTTCATCAGAGATCAAGGGCTGTTGTCAACACCACCAATCACATTTTGATCTTACTGGATAATAGGCAGTACATTCATAGTCTATGGTGATAGTGTTTCTGATTGATTTTTATGCTGAGGTTGTGAGTTCATGGCCATGTAAGAGTAATTTTCAGGGATGCATGGATGTTTCAGGCAGATGTGGATCATATTCCATTGTTATGGGTGATATGCTGTCTGAATTCAGTATGTTTCTTCTGAGAACATCTGCCTTCATCAGAAATTCCCACAGAAGGAAAAAATGAAATCAAATCTGCTTCTTAACTAAAAGGCAGAAAATCAAGCACTACACTGCTCTGAGCATCAGATGACATTGTATGCTGAGTAATGAGCTTAAGTTCAATTAATGCATGGAAGTATCCATAAATAGGATTAAATGTACATGATTGCATTCTTCTGAATGGCTGTGTAGGTGGATGTATCCCTAAAAAGTATAAAGTTTGTGACATTCTCTCAGCCATGATGCATGCCCCAGGGCAATAATTTAAAACAGTCAAGAAACAAACCAGGCAGCAAGAAACAAACCAGGCAGCAACACCTCTCAGCAGGGTGCTGGAAAGAGTAGGACAACTGTACAATTTTTGTCTCTAATTTCAGCATGGCTGTGCTGCTGTTGAAGGAATTTCAAGATATGATGAATTCTGAATTGGTAGCCATTTTTCAGTCATGAAAATTGTAACAAATTTTAAAGCATCACACTCTAACTTTCAAAACTGTGACAAAAGTATACCTGTGTATTTCAGTTCTAACTGCAGATTAACAGCTAGCATTTTAGGATTTAGGGAAACCCTCAAGAACTCAGAAAACAGACTGTTAATGTGTATTTTTAGTCATACCTGAATTCCTACTGATTGCAAAGAGACTATTTCTATGCTGTTGTCTGATTGACCCGCTACTGAGAAATGCTGAGCACTCTTGAAGCTCAGTCATCAGCAGCAATAACAGCTTACTGAAGGTGCTTAAAGCTTGCAGGACTGAGCTGGAGGTGGGAAACCACTCTCAGAGAAGAAGGAATGAAAAAGATTAAATAGATTTTTTTTTCTTTCAGTTTTTAGAATCATAGAATCATTAAGGTATGAAAAGACATCTGAGATAATCAAGACCCAGTACTGTGCTCTGTGTGCAAGACAAGACTTCTTTCATTTCAGAAGGATTGCATTAGGATGCTTGCAGTTTTAATTGGATAAATTTTAATACAACAAAATTCTAAATTAAAGTCCTAAGTAGCAGATGCATGTAGATACACTTAAAAGATCTTAATTTAAAGATTTTCTTTACATATTATGTTGAAACTATATGTAAGGTACACCTTTGTAAGTTTGGTCACACTGAATAGCAGCTGAGAAAGGTTCTTAAAATGCATTAGCTAATTGATAAAATCTATCAACCACAAACTTGTAATTTATTGTACAGTATTTAGGGAAAAAAAGTGAGAAAAACTAGCACTTTAAATACATGATATTACTCATGAGCCAGATATCTTGTTTTGGCGATGACCTCATTGTACCAAGGATGTGTCATCCACAGATAACCTTGTAGCCTGATGAAAAACTGATAAAGAAATTGCACTGTTTTGGGCAGAAGCAAAATATATAAATACAGAAATTGGAATTAGAAATCAGAAAATTCAAGATAAGAATGTCAAAAGTGGCTTCCAAGTCTCAGGAATTTTAGTCTTTGATAGAACATAGAAGTGAATGTTACCTGATTTTCAGAGACCACAATTTTATGATGGTAACAGTCTTCAAAACAATTTGTTTAATTTGTTTTATTTTGCTGGTTTCTTTTCTTTTTTTCCTTTTTTGGTTTTTTTTTTTGAAGGGAGAGCCTGAAGCCTAAAGTACAAAATTACAGACAAAGAGCACATTTTTTTGCAGTCATCTTTCTACTCAATGTTGCAGGACACAACTGATCCAGATATCTAAGCAACTCAATAATTATTGGAAAGATTAAGGTTGATGAGTTAATTTTTGAAGGGAGACATAGGTGCTTCATTCTCTTAGATCCTGTAAGACCCAGCAAGACCCAGCATAACAATATGTGAATATTATATACATACAGAAAATTTCTAACCGATGTCCTGATCCTTCCAGTCATCTGAACTCATTTTGGCAGTCTAAGTGCTTAATTACTAACTTAGAGGTCTCGGATTTTAAATCCATTTAATTCTCAGAGAACAGGATTTAATACTTGTGGGGACCATATTGTCCTTAAAAAGGGACTTTTTGGAAGGGATTTTTTTTTTCCCCTCAAAAACTCAAGTGGAGCTTTCTTTACAAAGGAAACATATTTGGTTTGAAATTGTAAAGGGGCTTTCAGCAGGGAATGACATTGTCATGTTGTTTTCCAGAGTAGAAGTGTGGCAGGAACCATTCTGGTGCATGTGTGTGACCACCACCATACAGCTCATTTCATGTTGCTTTTGTTTGTTTCTATTAAAAGAACATTAAAGTTGCATATTTAACTACTCCAAAGCTAGCACATGCCTGAATGAAAATAGTCTGTACAACCATAATTCAGTCCATTTCTATAAATCAATACTTATATAGTATTTAAGTGCATGATCAAATACTGGGTTTACACTGGATCTTTTCCACCATCAACGAATGGGAATTTTATTTACTTTATTTTTTATATTATTGTATTTTATTTTATCTTCTTTTGTTCCTCAAATTTAGTGGAGGACTGGTGGCACATTAGTTCAACCATTGCACAATACAAAATGATAAATTTCCTCCACTGGAAGGATTAGTTCTGTGGAAAGCATTTTTATCTTACTTTCACTAGAATAGCTGACTGTGCAACACTTCTACAAGCTTGCTGTCCACAGAAATATAAACCCACACCATTAATATCCAGCTGCAGAAATTTGGGCTGAAATGACTTTCCCAGCCTTTGTAACCTTCAATGTAACAGTAAAACCAGTGTTTTCTACAACAAACTCTCTTCCATTTACTAGTTTTAAGCAGCCAGTACAGCTGAGAGGAAAGATAATTAGCAAACTCTTACTTCATCATCAGCATCTACAGGGTTGTAAAACCCAATACAGATCTAATTAATACCTTTCTTCAAGCCTATCAGGGGCAACAGGATGGATTAGGTACTGCTGAGTACCAAAACAGAAGAAATGGAGTTTACTCCAAAGTGTGAAATTGCTATTTAAAAAAAACCAAAAAGGCTGTTTTCTTCCAAGAACCCAAGCTGAATTTTCTGAGTTTGCCTGTGTTAGCTTGAGAGCAGTTAAATATGCAGCCTTAATGGTTCTTTAATGTAAATGCTAATGATTTATAAAATTTCAGATCAAATATTGAGTTTCCTATTAGTTTCTATCCAGGTACCATTGGTGGGAATATGTATGTGAGAACAAAATATAGCCTTAAATACTCTGGGTATAGGTTTGATATTTAGAAGTATTACAGAATATAATAAGATAAACATCCTTTATTGCTCCCTATGCCTTGAACTGATCTACAGCAAACATTTTTCTAATTACTTCTGTTTCTCCCTTGGCTTTTTTTCATAGATCTTCCCACACTACTACTTTATGAGCCAATGCTGAAACTGTTGAGACTAAAGCCTGACTACTCTGATAAAAAGTCTCCAAATTTCACCTGCATGCACAACTCCAGAAGATTTCTGATTATTTTTTTTCTTCTTCTTCTTTATTTTAGGACAATTATATGCAGAAAGACGGGCAGCAAACAGCAGAGCGTGAAAGCCATTGATGTTAAAATTGAAACCGATCCCTTTGTGAATGACCAATATGATGCTTTTTGTGTAAAGGATGAAGGTCAGCACTGATATACTTTTGAAATAATGCAGAGTTGTCGCTGTCTTGCAACATTAAAAGTTTTGCCTTCAATTTTTCTACTGCTGAGAGAGAAAGAGGGAAGGTTAAGGGATAAATCTTTGTAGTAATTGCCCACTACAAGAGCCAATTGCTGCAAAGACACTGGTTGCAGCAAATAAATTGTATGTCTTTGCTGCAGTTTAGTGAGTTCAAACAGCACCAACGATCTGGCAGAATCAATTTTGGTGCTCACAGGATGTATTTTATGGAAAGGAATATGTATGGCACCAATCTGATGGAGATGGCTGAAGCGTGTCCCTTACTCAGCACTGTAGCTGAATGTAACTCAGTAAGCTGGTTTCCAGCTGTAACACACCATCCTGTTGTATATCTATCAGTATACAACATTTGTATGCAAATTTTAGTTTAATTTTGCTTTAGTTTGAGTGTTTTTTTCTAAAGTGTAGACCAGGCTGCTAGAGATGCTGATATAGCCCAGATGATTCTGAAAACCAAATTATTTCCAATGTAAGTTCATGCTTTAATTTTTCAATATTTAAGTTTCAGAACCCACAAACAAAGATGAATTCTGAAGACAAAAAGTAAATTGTTACTGATAGGCAGGATTATGTAAAGAAACTTGGGAACCCCTGAAACAGATTGTTGGTGTCTGCAGTGAGTTTTTGCATCTGATTTCCAAGAAAAGCAAGGGTAAGCTGATGGTATTCACTGGGAAACAGTAGGTTCACAGCACATGGGGGGCATTCTGATGAACTGTCAGTGGCAGGAGTGTGGATGAAAATATGGCTGAAGCAAAACATGGCAGAGATGATGTGTATTTGATCTATACCAAATCATTCTTTTTAGAAAGAATGATTTTAGCAGAGTTTGACCATCCTCTCAAGTAACCCTTGTGATATCAACTCCAGGCTCCGTGCTGCTGTGAGCAATGCCAGCCCTGTCACCCAATTGCTAATGTGGTCACACAAGCACCTTTGTGCTTTCTCCATGCTTCTCCTCACACATAGGACCAGCTCCCTGTAAACATCTACAAAACTCTCTCATTGTCTTCCTTCAAACCTCTTTTGTCATCATCCCCCCCCACCCCGAGAAAAACCTTGGAGTGGGTTGGGACAGCTGTGAGATGCTGAAATCATTGCTCTGGCCACTATTGTTCCATTGTGCCCTTGTGCTCCCCTGTCTGTCCCCACCTGCTCCATCCGAGCTTACGCGTGGATGCTGGATCTTGGAAAAGGAGCTGTGTTTACTTTTTGTGTTTGGTTACTGCTCATGGTAAAGGGGCAGACAAGAATGTAACCACACAAGGCTATGCTGGCAATGAGGGACTCAGAAACTGCATACTTTAAACTCTGGGCAAATTCAGATAGCTTGCAAAGAATGTACAAGTTATGAAGAATTTGTTTTGTAGAAGGCAGGGAATTTTCTGATGACGGAATGGGATGATCATCCCAACGCACTCATCAAGTAGTCCTAACACACAGAAACATTTCTGGAGGATTCTAAGGTTCCCTCTTCTCTAAATATACTGAAAACTTGGGATGCAGAGCTGATGTTTGAACAGAAAGACTTAAGTGAATTTGTGTGGCAGAACCTGGTTTGTAGCTGGTATGAAAAGAGCTAAGTCCAGAAAGGAAACAGCCTTAACATTACAACAGTAACATGCAAGCCAACACAGAGCTGCTGACTGATGAAAAAACATCCTCAGGGATGCCACTTCCAGTTTTAGCAAATATCCAGTAAGAAGCAGCAAGAGTAAACCCTGCACCACAACCTCACACACAGCATATATGTTCTGATCTTATGTACATGTGGCTAATAACTACACATATAAGTTTGGATTAATGAGTTGCTTCTTTCTTGAAACCTCAAGAATATTTTTTTTAGTCTTAGAAAAGTAGACATCACTTTTAATCTATACATTTGCAATTATAATATAGTGCAATTATAATATACATTAGAGTTAAGTACAAAAGGCAAGTTGTTTTGTTCTGCTGAAAGTGATAAATCCCAGGTTTCTTACACTGAGACCTATATTAATTTCTTCAAGCCCTTTCATTTCTTTTATATCCATCCAGCTAATAAAGAGCAGATAGCAGCTTTCCTTCTTTGTCAGAATTGCCTGAGAAGAGCCAAAGGCTCAGACAGACTGGTAGGTTGAAAACAGACAGAGGAAACAGCCACATGAACTTCTACTTCAGAAACTAAGCTGATGTTAATAACTCCTTGCAACTCTACGTTCAGTTCTTAGGCCTGTGAAGAAATTCACTTCTTATCCCTTGATTTATAACTAATCTTTACTCAATTAACATTTACCATGCAAATAAGTGGAGTCAGATTCCTTAAGCACACATCTCAGCATGCCCCTACACCAGGGCAGTAGTCAGGTGCTAGCAAGAGCTCTGGGTGTTCTTATGGCACTTATGGCATCAGGCTTTTACAAATACAAGTCCTGAAGAAAGAGACAGTTTTTCGTTTTGTTTCTGAAATGGATTTTGGTCCACACAGAAGAATCACAGAGATTGTTGAGACTAAGAGTTATCTTTTACAGGGAATTCATTCTAAGGGTTCTGTTTGACAAGGAAAGATGTAGCTGTAATGTATTATGAATGCTCTGAGTATAGCTGCAGTTTTCACAGTACAGAGAAATGTGTCTTCTCAGCTTCTCATAAACACATGTTTTATGCAGCCATTAGAGACAGCAAGACAACTCTGTACCAGCTCAAGATCTGCTGAGATCAGAAAGTTTCCCTTGTAGGCCCTGAGTGCCAAAAAATATCTAAAAATATATTAGATTCTGCCAATTCTGAAAATGCAGTATCACACAAAAGTTAGATCTGGCACACAGAGTGCATATCTCTGATAGAGTTCATCAGAAAATACCTCAAAGTATGAAGTAGGTAAAGCAAGAAAAACAGAAAGCTGGAATTTTTTCTGCCTTTTTTTTTTTTGTAATAACACGTACCATTCAATTTCATATATATATATGTATATATAATCCTCTTGTTTTTCTTTCATTTTTGTTTTTTTTTTTTTTTATTGCAGCAAGGAAAGATCTCTTTGTTAATAACCCTCAAGTTTTACTGGTTCTTTCTTTCAGTGACCCACTGATATTTACAGGCAACAAATAAGATCTGTTCCATAAGGCTTTGATTTGCTGCCACCACAGGAAAAGTAAACAGGCAGCAACTTGTAGTAGAGTACAGCATAAATGCAAATCAAACTTTTTAAACATGACTGCTGGCTCCAGATATCCATCAAAGCATGATGGCTTATGTACATATTTCAGTCAGCCTTTTTCAGCAGTAAGAAAAAAAGAAATTAGTGTATGCTTTACAGCAAATATATTAAGTTTACTTTACAAGAACAATCAAATTGCTGTTTGCTTTGTGTAATATTTGAACTATTTATATTTTTTTGTTATAGTTTTAGTGCTACAGCTTTATTTTTCATGGCTTTGCATATAGCTGACAGTTAATTCCCACTTCTCTGGTGATGTCACTTAAACCAATAAAGTCCTCCATGCCCTGCCTGATGTAAGAGGTGTTGGCATCCTAGCACTGGTAGCTTACAAGCAACACTTGCATTGGCTATAATTGAGTTTTGATTCTTCATACTCAGTACTTTTATCCAAACAGAAAAATTCCATATACTTTAGGGTCTCTGCAATCAAGAAGAAAAATAAACATCCTCACTCATCTCATTCACAGATCTGACTGTTAAGAGTCATTCCTAGCATTTTCAAATTTCTTAATGACAGGATGACATCCTAAAAATTCCAGCGACCTCTGGAAAAACTCCACTGAATTGGATGGTTGTAAGAGGAGAAGTTTTATGTCAAAGTGGATGTCTCGTGTCAGCTTTCAGATTAAAGCAGCAATTGTAGATAATCAGATTTCAGTAAATTCCTGGTTCTGCCAGGTGATGTGGAAGCTGAAGTCTGCATCTTCTTCATGTTGATTTTTTTGGCATTGATCTTAGGCTGTCCTTTCTGTAGACAGTATTTTATCAAGACATCTCAAAAAAAAGTCTTTACAGACTAATGGGATACCCATAGTTCAAATAAAGAAGATGCTTCTGGTGCAATCTGGACTGGGGAGAAGAATTGCTGTGTTCTTAAAACAACTTGTGCCAACTATTTGCCAGAAATCACCTGTCACAAACTCCTTTCCACGTGTGTTCTGGGGTTAAAGTTACTATTCTGAGGAGATATTTTTCCTAAAAGCCAATCATGACTGAATGTGCTAACTCAAGAGGAGATCTCTTTAGTCCCATGTAAAAAATAGTTACTGAGTCTCCAAGAGGTCTGTAACCAGAGCTGTCACTAGCCCTAACTTATCTGTGCTCAACACCCATATCTTTGCTGTGCCACTTATTCCCATTAATTTACCAGATGTTGACTCTATTCTGACTTCTGCACGTGTATATTGAGGTCTTTCTTGTCTGCAGTGGTGACTTTCACTCCAGGACACAGTCTGTGCCAAATTACTGCTGACATGAGGATTTCCTGTGAACTTTAATTAATTTCCTTATATCTGTGCTGTGCTGTCTTGCTCTGAAGCCAAATCTACCCTCTCTTACTGGAGGTCAGTTACCAACATATGGAGGCCTGCTACGTGTTTGACCTCAGTGTCAACACATAGAAAATTCTGGAAGGGTCATGATGCCCAGAAACTAATTCCAAGTGTTCAGGCTTAAAATAAGATCTTGGACATAAGCAGGCAGAGCATGGGACTTGCTTGATGTTCTGCTGGATGTCCCTCGAGTATCAAGAAGATCCAGCTTTTTTTACTGGGAAGCATGAATTGGGTGAATTTTTTAGCCAGTAGCAAGAAAATATGCTGGTTTATGGGAGGATAGATGAGGAAAAAATTAGTGCTCCAGATGGATGGAGGAGCCCAGCCCTCATCTACCCAACAGCACCCCTGTGGTCACCTTAACAAAGAGCACTACTGTTCCTCTACATGACAAGCTGCTGCCAACACACCCTCTGTCACGCTTCGGTGGCCCAGATCTGCCTCCTCTCTTCCAGCAAGAAAATGGCCTGAATGCCAGCACTGAGCACAGACTGTTGTTCCAAATAAGCCCATGCTCTTCCAGCTCCTGGTACGAAGGCTGCAGACAAAAGCATGAAGCCTGTCCCCAGAAGTGTCTCAGTTTGATGAGTTGCTGTGCCAGTGTCACTTCTGTACGTGTGCCAGAAGGAACAGGTTTGGCAAAAGGCTGAGCAGGAATTGTCATAGCAACTGAGACTGCAGCAGGATGAGGAGACATAAGATGCTGAAACCTGGAAAATTCCTGTACCTTTTATGCACAAGAGGACAGCAACAAAATGGATGTAGGAGCTTGAGTTTGTCTTTGCAGCTTTCACTTGTGCTTGCCCATGCTGTCAGTCAGTATGCTCTGCAGCAAAGATGTGACCTTACAAAGTCTCATGTTAGAGAGTCAAAAGTTCCCCACACAGTGTCAGTCCATGAACATCTTTAAAATCACTGCTTTTCTTTCTATTCATGCATCAGCCAGATCTCTTTCAGGCTCTCATAATTCTGTTACCATGTCTGTTGTAAAATTTTACTGTAAAGATCCCTTTAGCTTTCTTCCTTCCTGGGAGGTTATAATGTGCTTTTTGGATGTGTTTGCCGTAGTTAACTTATGTGTGGCTTCTCTGCTTCCTCTGGCAACAGGATTAAGAAGCAAGACTTTGTAGATAAGAATACTCTCTGATGTATAATTGTCCCATACAGCCTTGGGATCAATACTTCCCTCAGAACAGATACACAGCTCCCATTTGTATGCATGGAAGTAGCTACATAAAGTACATGAAATGCAAGGCTCTGTAGCCTTCCTATGAGGCAATAAAATATTTTTTATACCTTTCATCCACATCAATCTCTACTCATCTGACCAGTTCACAGGAAAGGCATTAGCTGCTAACTGCTCCTCACTTCCTCGGATGTCAAACCTCCATAAGATTCTATATAAACTGAGCTTTGTGTAGCCTCAAAAGCTTGTTTTTTCTGTCAGTGTGTGTGTGTATAACTCCCACTAACTTCTGAAGGTGTTAGACAGTAGATATATATATATGTGTGTGTGTGTGTGTGTGTGTACAGTACAGAGAACAGGCTTCAAAGTTTGACTTCAGTACCATGTCCCTTATATTAGTGGCAGATATTTTTCAGCATACCCAATTAAGAATTGGTTAGTCAGGTCTATCAGACAATTTTCAAAAGCCTGATCCAAAGGAACTTTCACAGATTGTGGATGTTTATCATAGGATTTTCATTTCACTACAAGGTAAACTACTGGAAAAATAAATAAATCATATTTCTAAATAAGCATGCATTTACCTATGCCTGGGTCAGAAGTGGGTAGATGATGGGAAGAGCTGCAGCCTGAGACTCAGAAGTGTTTTACAGAATGCCCCTGGGCAAAAGCAGGAAAGCTGAAGTTTTTTGCAGAGGGGAGACTGAGAAATCTTTTCTGTCAAGCCTGTTTCCCATTGAAAACCCTGGACACAAACTGGTGTCAATGGAACTGTGGCTTGCAAGATCTTGTGGTGATGATGCCCTAAAAGTAGACTGCAGCAAAACAGCAAGGGTGCTCTTTGTAGATGTTTCTCCTTCTGCATGTCCAGGAGCATATTCTTGGAGTCTTTTCAGCTTCCAAACAAAAGTCTTTTCGAGGAACATCATCTTTATCAGCTAAGCAGTCAGGTTTTTGTACCAAAGCAAGCTATTTCAACAGGAAAGATCAATACTAGAACATAGACCAAGTCCCATGTTTCCCTATCCAATATAATTACCAGAACTCATGAGTCTTTTAATTTTGGTTGTTCTGTATCTGGACAAAAGCAGGTTTTGGATTTTCAGTTACTTTGGCAAGAGGAACAGTTGTTTTTATTCTAACACAGTCAATAAGGGTTCTAGAACCATGGGGGAAAAATTCCCATATTTGAGAAAGACTATAGAAGTGATAATTTGTACCAACACTGCAGTCTTTGCCCATTGGGTTTCTTGGTAAAATCCATGTTCTTCCATTGTATTTTTTTGTTTGTTTTGTTTTTCTGTAACTAAGAGGTACCTATTCCAAAAAGGACTGTAAAAAACATGGAGGAAAAGGGGGCATAGCAAACCTGTGTGAAGAGCTCTTTTCAGAGAGGAAGGCCTTTGAGGAAAGAGAATCCACAATGCTCAGAAGTTCTCTAGAAATTCTTGATCTACCTTGTTAACAACGGCCAAGATCATTCAAACCAGAAAAAGAGACTTAAAATTTAGTTTATACTGGTGGTGGCAGCTGCAAACCTGCCTCCCTTCCACACTTCTTTAATGCAACAAAAACCAGTTTTGATCTCATTCATAACAATTTTTCTTCCTGGCTTCTAATGCTTTCAGCAAAAATACTACCAAACATCTTGTTGAGTTTTATACCCTGGTAAATTTAGCTCTTCAGATTCTCACAGACAGCAAAGCTATGTTACCCCTGGGTATTCTTAAGCTGATGAGCCCAAGTCACTATTTATTTTTGGGTGTCTCCTGCCTAAAAAGGGAGATTTGAATAACAGGGAAGACACATGATTTGAGAAAGACTAGGAGATTAGAGGTAGTCTGAAAACTGACTGTTGTTCACCTGTACCTTTTCTTTCTGTGAGTGTGGACTGGGCCATTGCTCAGCCTCTGCTGGCTTCCTACAGTGTAGAAGAGATCAAAGTGCCGGTATTAAACAATTCCACAAGCATTTCCGTGGTTAAGAAAAATGACTGTGTCCAAGCTGTTGCTTTCCAGTCCCAACCTGCCCAAGCCTTTGTTAGATTTTGTAGAATCGGGCAGGGAAGATGGCTGTGACTTGGCATCCCGACTTGTTTGAAAAAAGCCATAGAGATGCATGGCTGTCAGACATCAGTAACATTATGGTAATCACACGACAGTTTTAGCCCAATATATACCTTCCCAATCACAGCTGGAAATATTTGTGAAGGGACATAAGGGCATGAAACAGATGAGATCAAATTCCTGTAGGTGTGTAAAAGTTTATCCTCAGCAAAACTCTTAGCAGTGCTGTTAGCACTGCGTTAAAAGACTACTGTGAATTCTTCACAATGCCATCTCTGTTTTCCTTTCAGACAAGCCCTGTGGGGACCCGCCGTCCTTCCCCCACACCATCCTGCACGGCCACACTGGCTTTGAGATGGGGGACGAGCTGCTGTACGTCTGTGCCCAGGGGTACGTCATGGGCAACAAGGAGACGGCGTTCACGCTGCTCTGCGACAGCTGCGGCGAGTGGTACGGGCACGTCCAGGCCTGTGTCAAAGGTGAGCTCAGCCAACAACCTCCCAGCAGCCTGGATCCAGCGTTGGACCCTGTGCCCTGGGCACCTGCAGTCCCAGTGAAGGTCTCGGTCAATGTCTCAGCTGGCCCAACAGGACTTTTACAATCCCATTGGTAGATGGCTCCAAGAAACCACAGGAAAAGATAGCTTTCTCATACTTATATGAACATAAAGTTTCTCTCTGGGTAGAAGGATCCATCCAGTATAAAAAAAAATCTTTTAAGCTCTTCACTTTGTCCCCCAGCTTTTCGTAAGAAGCCAGTTTGGCTGATCAGAGTTTTTGCTAGGCCTTTCCTTTAGCTTTAACACCCTTGAACTTCTGCCCTTACACAGATAATAAAGGCTGCTTCCTTTGGTTAGGTTGGGAACATTGAAGACCCAAGTAAGCTAAGAGAGATGCCTGTGCCACACAAATAAACTGTGACCAAAAAAGTTAATGATTTTTTTTAATTTGCCCAAATAAAAAGGCAAGCAGTTTTTATCCTGTACCATGCCTCCAGGACTTTTGTCTGCAAAGACAAGAGTAGTTGCCCAGATATTTACTCCATTAAAAAGACTGAAAGTGGATTTTCTTACCAAGTGACTTGACTCAAGAAAAGATTTTTTAAAAAAAAACCCAAACCACAAAACCCTCAAGCAAATTGTAAAATGACATTTCCTTAATTTAAACCCTCAATAAAATTCACCTTTATGTGTTAGTTAAATTCTACAGCAGTCTTTTAACTTTCCCCTTTTTTAAACATAGGCTAAACAGTACCATGAGTTCAGGTGTGGATATAATCTGAATTCTGCTTTCTCGTGTTACCTTGCTCAATGCATAAACCCACCATTTTTTCCGGTATTTAAGGATGGTCATCAGAAAATTTTTGTATTTTTTTGAGAAGGCCATCACACCTTTAAAGTAATGTTTCTGGCAAAACAGATAATTTTTAAGCAAAGGAGTGGGCAGCTGTTGAGTAGCTGAGCTATCTATATGGGCTGGAGTTAGTATATCCATTTCAGAACCTATATATTCCTTAATGTCTGGAGGCTTGCAAGGAGTTATTTTTACTCATGAATATACCATCAGGCAGTGGATAATCATGAGAAAAGGTCAAATTTGTTCTTAGTAGAAGTAGGTCATGCCTGTGCACCAGGGAACCAGATTCTCAAACCCATCCAACTGGTATAAATACACAAAAAGCCTCAATGAAAGCATCAGCATTTTTCTGAACTGTTTCAGCTTCTAAAACTGTTTTTACAAAGAGCAGTTCAGATGATTATGCAAAACAATGCAGGGCATGAAGGAAGAATGTGAAGGGAAGAGGAAAAAAAACAAGTATATGCGTCTGATCATAGAATAAAGAATCACAGAACAGTTTGGGTTGGAAAGAACCTTTAAGGTCATCTAGTCCAACCCCCCTACAATAAGCAGGGACATCTTCAACTAACCCAGTGGGTCCAAATGTCCTATAGTCTGCACCAAATTGATTCTCCTTTTTTTTCCTTTTTTTTTTTTTTTCCTGAGGTTTGTGGAAATGCTATCTTCATCACACATAGACATAAAGCTGTATTACACCAAAGTAAGGAAGGGAAAGAATCAGACTATGTCAGCTGTGTGTGTTTCACTGTTTTCTTTGGATAAATAGTCTCTTTCCCCTGTTTTGCCTGAGCCTTTCACACAGCCGTAGGGGAGAGAAAAATATTAAAAAAAAAAAATAGGAATGTGTGGCTGTAAAATCACAAACATCAACACTGAAACTTGGGAGCAGATATGATATGGTGGATTATGATTTTTAAAATTATTTAGATGTAGATTTCATGCTGGGGGGCTTCCTCTGATTAATGTTTTTCAAATGCTTTAAGGACATGGGACAGAAAATACAATAATTGTTCTAGTAATAATTATGTATTTAATCCTTTTGATCATAATTGTTTAAGAAAGAAGACTTTACAAGATGATTAAAATGTGTGATACTAGGTTTCATTATTTTCAAAAAAGTGAGAGCCCAGTGAAAAAGGGCAACAAAAAAAAGGGAATTTAATTAAAAGGAATTTGATTTAGAGTTGACTGATATTTTGGGGTCATTGGAGAGAGGAGGAAGAACAATTATTAAGTACTCCAGAAGTCAGCACACAGACTGATTTTTAAGTGCTCTGAGGCAAGAGAGCACCTTCCCTATCATGAAGGTTAATGATGAGACTTAATGGAGAATTTAAATTCCTGTTGGCAGACTGGACCACTTCTGTCCTAACAGGCTGACATCAGTGGAAAGATGTTCGTGAAGCCACTGCAGTGAACATTTAAGTGCTATGTTTAGAGCCTGGTAAGATGATACAGTGCCCTTGCTCTGAATCTGTGCTGGGTGAGCAATTGAGAAATGTAAAGTAGTCCCAATGCCCTTACTCCAACAAAAAGGGACCACATGGACAAAACCCTGGCCAGAGCATCAAGAGTTATAAGGCCTGTTCCTATATCCTGCAGGATCTCTGAGACTAGGGACAAGTCACTGTACTGCTCTCTGCTGCTTACTCCACCTCATCTGTGGAAAAGTGGTGACATTTGTCCAATCTCATAAAGCTTGCTGGGATTTGTGGATGTTACACCTCGAGTAGCATTGTTCTACTTGGTAACTGCCCCATTATAATACCCAGCTGTCCAGGCAGACTAAACAGCAGCAACTGCATGCTTTTCTTGATTGTGGAAAAGCATCAGACTGGCTTTACATTCCCAGTTGCTCACACAGAGCAAATACCGAGTCACAGAACTATCATCATTGCAGTGTCTAAATATAGCAGTTAAATGTTCTTTGAAGTCTCTTTGTGATCATCTTTCCTCTCTGTTTTGATCCAGAAAGAAGAGATACAGTCCATTCTGGCACCTGGCCTATAAGTGTACGGCCATACAGTCAGCAGATTTGCAAATTAAAATTTAAAAAATACATGTATATAATCAAATAGACACATAATGCAAAATACATGGCAAAACCTGGCTATGGGCATAACTGAAAAAAAGTAATCTTGGACTTCTATTAAGTGGATTTCAGATACAGTAAAGTATGATGGAAATTTAAGTGGATTCAGGATCAGTAAAGTATGATGGAAATTAGGAAAGCAGTACATTACAAATGGCTGTAATGTACATTGTGCACACCAGGTAATAGACAGTAATTTTTAGTTAAGATGCTTTTTAAGAAAAACAGTGACTCTGTTTCCTGTAATTCCTTGTCATGAAAAGGCACTGTGTTCTAGCTGAAAACACAGGGATATTTAGTCCAACAAAGTAACCTTAACGAGAGAACAGGGAAATACATGGATTTTGCCATTTATTATTATTTTTTTATTTCTGTAGAATGCATTTGTTTCACAAAATATATCCTGAAGAACACTGTAGTAAGGTCTGAAAGCGATGAATATGTGCCATGCTGGGACTGTCCTGCAAGCACAGAGATTAAACTGACAATTGCTAAATGACATTTGTTTTTTTCCCAAAATAAACCATGAGTTCAATATCAGAAGCATTAATACCAACACTTCAGTGGTGGAGGTCAGGGCTGGACTGCATTAGGCTGCATTCTCTAGGGTTTACATCCTCAAAGAGAGGGCAGATGAGATGGGAAATCATGTTCCATCTCTGCCCTAAAACTGGCTCAGAGGAATGTCATATATCTATCCTTTCCCTGGGTTGTTTTGGGTTTTTCCAGCTATATGCTTGTGGCAGGAGAGTCCATACCTTCTACACATCTAAGGAATCTCTCCAAAGACAACACTTGGACACACAGCTAGTGTGCTCCGAGGTACTCCAGCTTTTCCATGCTGAGGACCATCCTTCTCACGCCAGTGTAAGGAGGACTTGGCTGACTTTGATCACTTAATCTGCAGCTACCAGTCCTTTTGCCTGCCTCAACAAATCTCATTACTTCAAACATAGCCTTCTGAGTTTCCAAGAATCATATTGGTTCACATTTGTGTGGTCTTGTAAGCGTGACGAGTTAGCACCATTTCTTTTTGGTTTCTTATTTTTAATGTGGGGAATCAAACAAAATGTCTCTGGCTTTTGATCTTATTGGAAAATGCTCTCTTTTTGTTCATTCTGTGAGTGCAAAGGAAGATTTGTGACAGACAAATATAATCAGCAACAAATATGTCCGTGGCCTGTCAAAACAATTGTTATGACAAACTTTGGTTCCATTTTCAGACCTGTCACTGAGGGGTTGTATTAGATTAATGTAAAGTATTGATCTGGCATGGATGGATTCTGCCAAATGGAATAAGTTAAAAAAATGTTGATGGGTTATTTATTTATATTAGCAGGCTTTCTGCTGGAATAAAAATTATCCTCTTTCTTGTAGCTATTGCAAAAGATAAAAGGCACAATTTCTGTCTAATATACTCTGGCTGACTAGAAAGAGGTTTGTGTGCCTGATCCAAACTACATGGATAATTCTTTGAGATATTGTAGCTCACAAATGTGACTTATCTTAGGCAAATCAGTCTACATGCTCTTTTCCTCCCCATCCTAAAAGACAGATTCTGTCTTGTTAATGTTTGCTGTAGCTACTTTGAGATTCTTAGACTAAAGATCTTTTTATACAGTATAAATATTTATAATGATGGTCTATATAGAATCAGGTTTCAATTTCCTGTACTCCAAAAATACACCCATAAAATATGCTCTGCACTTTATGGTTGTCCAAAATAGCAACACTCAAAATAGAGCTTGGATGCCAATATGCTATCAAGAAGAGAAATTAAACTGATCCTAGAGTGTGGAAGCACAGGCTCTTTGTTTTTGCCTGTCTCTATGTTTGGTCACTGTTTTCACACTAAGATCAAAAACTGAAGGAGATGAAAGCTCTAGAGGACTGGATGTTTCCCAAAAAGGATTAATTAAGAATTAAAAGGATTTTACCTTTTAACTGAGCTTCACATCTTTGGTAGTATGTCATTTCAGCACCTCTTGTTGTAAAGTGTTCATTTCAGACTCAGTAATCCCTCAGACAGTGAATAAAAACTCACTGATCCTTGAGTCTGCCAGAAGAGGGTATGGTCAAGATGTAACAATGACCAAAAATAGAAAGATTTTGATCTTGGATAGATTAATTTCAGGGCTGGCTCTTCTTAAAACCAGATCTGCCTAGTTAGAAAGACGTAATCACTTTTAAACCAATTGCTAGCAGTTTTAAAAATGTGTATAAATAATGGCTACAACTTTTTGGATAAGAGGTGGAGCTGAATCTAGTTTGATCATTGCTCTTCAGTACCAACACTAAAATTCAGGGAACTGGAAAGTGCTGAGGAGGCAAGCAAAAAGAAGTGCAGAAGTTGTGCCTATTCCTGGAAAATCAAGCTCATGGTGGACTTAGAAGATTGTCATGGTAACACAGAGCCACTAAATACTGAGTCCAAGTCCCATTTGAAGGTCTGAGGCCCAGAAGAAAGAACAGAGTATTATTACTGTGTAAGTCAATCCAGGATCATATAAATCAAAGCTCCAGAGTAAGGGGGTCTGTATTTCCTTTGATGGTTAGAGAGCTCAATAGTTGCTTTCACTCTGGCATCCCATAAGCTAACATTAGTTATGTTGATAGTCTTTGCTATAAACTCTACAAATACGGGAGATTGAATATGAAAATATGTTAGAGCAGCTTTACAACTTGGGCCACAATCTGATTGTGAGAGGGAACAAGACTCCCTTATGTGGTGACAAGCAGTGCATAATGAGCTCCAATCTCAGGATCTCTTTAGACTACAATGGGCTTTTTCTTCCCCCAGCTCTGCATTAAGAAAACACCAACTCACTTCTCTACAGGCAGGATCATGCCCAAAGGCAGCATGTTTGATGGAGACCCGACTGATGGTTCAACAAACCTTTAATATGTTCTGATAGAACGGGGACTTGCACTTTCTTAGAAGCACATGGGTTTTCCTGATGTGCCTCCATAGGATCTTCTCCTAGAGGGCTGAAACTACATGGCAGGAGAAACACTGAAGGAAAAGAGCTTCAAAATCTCTAAAAAGCTAAGCATTCACCAATGATCTACTCACACTTAAGGTACTGGTCAATGTGATGAGTGATAGCTGCCCATTCATACTGCTAAGTAAAAAATAGCTCTGGAGAAAACAACACAAGCACGTGGATGTAATTTTTGTTTACTGTTTGAGCCTCAGCTGGATTACCATAGTGTAGAAAGCAAAGGAGTGGCAAAAACAGAGGTTACAAGAGACATAGAGGTGAAGAGAAACCATTGTGATGATTCAATTAAAAAAAGAAAACAATGACCATAACAGTTAGCAAACGGTGGCTTCTCACATTATGATGTTCCAGTTCATATACATGCCACAGACACTTATAGGCTCTGACACACTGAACTTTAGTGAAACAGGCTTGCCAGATATCAACTTCTAGCAGGAGCCTGGATGATTAGGGGATAAAATAGTTTGAGGCACCATTTCTGTGCAAAGAGAGTGCCAGCCAGCTAGAAAAATTCTAAAGTGGAAGCAAACGGAGGGACAAAGTGAGACTAAAGTTTGACAGTTAGTAGAAGTGCTGCATTGTGATGGATAGTGCCATGCAGAGATTCATGAATAAGTTGCTAAAGTGCCTTGGTATTCAGACTTATCCTCCATTCATTTGTGAAAGTCTGAAATACTATTGGAAAAGATTTTAGGATTAATTAGAGAAGTGAGAGTCCTACCAGGACGCTTTCCACTCTAAGAGTTGTATTCCCCTGACTGTTAAAACATCCTTGAATGGGACAGAAGTTTTTCCTGCTTTGGAGAAGATGGGGAGGATCTAGAGGATTACTCAAGCAGATGAGGACACTGGGACCAGCAGGGAGAGAGGTCTGTTGTTGGCACTTCCTGTGGGATGAGAGGACCTGCTAAGAACATCCAGCTCTCCGGCATGATAGCTTTCACAGAGGTATTAACTCTCTGCAGGCTATTTGGGTCACACATCTGAGCTTCCTTAGCATAACTGCTTTGGTTTCTGGTAGACCCAGATGCTATTCCAAGATAAATACCTTTTGCAAATGCTCATTCTGTTTTGGCACCTGGCTTTAGCTGCTCTGGCAAAAAGTGAGGTGGTGTGAGCTGTATCACTGCTAAGTGGTTTTGGTCAGGCTGGTTTGACAATATTTCTAATCTTTCTTAAGAGTAGACCAAATATGGCTCTGCCAGAAGTCTGGGAAGCAGTCTCCAAGGAGAAAGTGACTCAGGCGGAAATTGAGGTGGGCCCCAGATGAAAATGTAATTCAAAATTGTCTGACCGTAAAAAGGCAAAAAAAGATAAGGCTTTACGAATGCAGTAAACTGTAATACAGGTTCTCCTGTTAATTTCTTGTTTCCTATGTCATGCCAGGTCTATTGCTTCACTGTCTTCATAAAAGACTAAATGCCCTCTTAAAAAGAAAAATTCTCACCATGATTCAGTTTATTTTCCATATCCCAAGGCACTATTTTTTATGACTTTTAATGCCAGCATAAATCTCAGAAATTACATCAACTTTCTATGGAGTAACACTTTCATGAACTGAAAATCAACCACCCTGTCCAGTTTGGAAAATTTGTCATTGAGCTAAGGCTTTAGAATATTTGGAGAAATATAAATTACAATGTATTATTCCATTCAAATTCAAACATTTAGCTTTGTGCTTTGAGTCAAGTCTATTTTGCTGTGAGTGCTAGGTCTGTTGAGTATTTCTAAATCAAACTCAAGCTTTGCAATGAATCAGCCCCTCTGTCACACTCAGTCTTTTTACCAATTGTGTTTTGTGTCACTTTTTTTTCTCTTCTCCCCGTGGCAACATTTAATTCCTTAAAATTGAAAGCCTGAGAGTTGATTACAATTATCATGGTAACTAGGTGTGTGGCTTTAAGTGTTTGAAACAGGGTTTTCCAGCCTTGCAGGGGGCATCTTGCTTTTTTCAGATGAAAACCAGCAGAACTCAGTGTCAGCCTTGGTGGTGGAGTCTGCCTGTCTTTGAAGAGCTCTTATGGAATAAGAAATACTGTTCTGGCCCCAAGTGTTGTATCATTCTAACACCAAGGTGATTGAAAAAAGCAGTATACTGATAAAAACATGCCTTGATATCTTGCAAGCATAAAGTACTGAACAATTTTTTTTTTAAATCATCTATCTGAAATGGGATGAAATTGCTGTAAAACTTTTAGTTTTGTCTGTTCTGTTTTGTTTTTTTTTTATTACCAATTAGTAATTGATTAGTTTTTGTTATATCGTTCTCTCCACACACATTTCTTGCTTGAATAAGATGGAAGTTTTTCCTCAAATCTGGCAAAGAGTCCTACTAGGGGAGAAAAGGTTTGAGAAAACAATAAGCAAAGGAAGTCCTCTAACTGTAGACAGTGAGTTATTTATATGCATTTTTAAATCTGGAAAGATAAGATATTAGCTGCTGGCATTGACACCTACTGTGATTCTTTAAAAAAAAAACCCTTGAAATTGAATATCAGCCCAAGGACCATGCACTTCTCAAATAAACAATTACAGAGAATGAAAAATACTGCCTAGAAGTCACTTCTCATTGCATCTTTTTTCTTGGCTTTTTGTAATAAACAAGCTCAGTGCTTTTCCAGAGAATTAAATGTTGGCTTATGAGTTTTTGTTTTTTTTAATGCTTCTAGATGAAACTGAGGCACACATTGACTATGAAGATAACTTTCCCGATGACAGATCAATACCTATTGCTGAGAATGACCATGGCAATGGCAAAGAGGAAATTGAGCAGGAGCAAATACAGCTTTCCTTCAGTAAAAGTTCAGAGGAAGGAAGAACTGTAAGTACCAAAGGGGTTACTCAGCACACAGACATTTCTGAAAAAGGAAGCAGGGCACCAACTGAATCCCCTGTGTCACTCCTAAGCCAAAAAAACTTGTTTTGGTTTTCATCAGAAAGTTTCAGTGAGCCTGAATCAGAGAAAGAGACAGATGATTCCACTAAAGCACAGTTTTCTGAAGGTGATAACCACATTGGAGGGAAGACAGCCTATGGTGTACCTGGTGCCAAAATATTTTATGACAGTGAGGATTTCCCCATTGGACCCATTCTCACAACTAATGATACAAAGACGGCGATGGATGCAGTTGCCATCACTGACGAGTCGTGGTTAGACGGATATCCAGTAACACAAGAAGTGGTAGAGGATGATGAAGAGGGTGATAAAGTTGATGGTTCAATGGGAACAGAAGATGACATCATCCTCACAACTGATCAACCAAATCACGTGGAAGTAAGAAAATCAGGAAATGGCAGCCCAGCTCTGGAAGAGAGCCTAACACAGATTGTGGCAGCAACAACAGGGGTGGACGATGAAGGGGCTAAAGAGACACCAGCACCACTTACATCAGTGAGTGGTCTGGAGAACTTTAGTGTGAGCAGGGGTTATGATGATGCCGTGTGGGAACACCCAGCTACATCTCTGGAAACTGTGACTCAGGAGCCCACTACAACGATGCTGTTTGACATAACCAGCTCAAAAACATCCATGTCAGAAACCTCTGTGACCGTCAGCCCCTACACTCCATACATAGAACCAAGAGACACAACCACCTACACAGAACAAGTAGCAACCACTGCACCAGACATCATTACTGACACAGTGTCCCAGGATTTAGCAGAGCAAGAAAGTCTCACTCAGGGCCTTGGAGAAAAGCCCATCCCCACTTCTGAGCCATGTGAAGGAGAGGATTGTCCCAAGTCCAGTAAAGGTGCTATCATAGCAATAATAGTGATTCTTCTCTGCTTGTTACTGGTTGCAGCTGTTCTGGCAGTGTGGTTTTTCAAAAAACGGCAGCAGAAAAATTCTGTCTATAAACTAAATGGAAGGTGTCAGCCCAGACATCACTGTTACCACCACTACCACCACCAGCACATTGAAATGCAGAAAGTCTAACCAGGGCCCTTTTGGCAGAGATCGGAAGACAAAACATTGATGCTAGAAGACACATGACTCATGGATGCTAAAATCCAGCAGTGCAGAAAGCAGAAGAAAAAAAGAATGCTAGAAGAACATAGAAGACAGAAGAGATTTCATCCTTTTGAAATTGCAGTCTAGCATATTCGACTTTTCAGAGCTAAAGAATCTGTACATTTTTATCACAAGGGTCTTTCAGAGACATCAGCAGGACACAGTGTGCTCAGTAGTACATCTTCAATTTGTTCCGCTTTTACATTCTGCTCCTATTAATAATAAATTAATTGATTAATTTCTGTGTTACCTGCTTATAATGTAATGGTAGGGCTGGTCAGGCCTCTTTGGTCTGTTCTCAGTAAAAGAGGAAAAGAAAGAGGGAAGAATGGAAGAAAGATGATTTTGGAGCAACCACACGCTTGGTGTTTGCTCCTTTTTTAGCACCTGCCCAAGCTGGTCAGAATAAACCACCATAACAAGTTGTTACCTGATTTGTCTCAAAAAGAAAAACTATTTGCTACCACACTTTAATGGATAGTATCGCAATGATTACTAAGGTAATTTTCTTCAATGTTGTGAATTTAACAAGCCACAAATGTTGGATCATTATGCTACTGTTCTGGAAGGTGTTCTTTTAGCCTTAGTGAAGAAATGCCATTCTTATAACTAATCTTCCTGTAGAAATGATGATGTTTCCCCAGAATTCAGAGAATATGGTAAGTGCCATTCTTCCTTGAGTAGGAGCAGGAGAGGAGTCAGAGCACCTTTGGATCCAGGTGTTATGATGAATAGCCTCTCATTACAGAGCCAAACGCTGGTAAAGCACTTTCCAGGGGAAACCTGTATAAAGTTGGCTGCTTTCTGAACACAATGTTGACTGACCAAGATACTGAACTTATATTCACAGCCAGCAGTACCTCTGGCAACTGAAGCCATGTGTAATACTTTGCCATGTGTAATACTTCTGCCATGTGAACTCTGTGGAAGGACTGATTTTTCACCATTCTGCTCCTGCATAGGCTGGAGGGGTGGACATTGGCTCTGGGAGATGGGCAGCCCCTTTGCATGCTGCTTATTGTGGTTTTAAAGATAAAGCAGATCTGGGAAGGAAATAAATTGCACCTAGTTGATAAAATGCACTCAGTTTCTAGACTGGCTGTTGGTGTAAAAGCACGGATGCTTTTCCAACAGCACGTTCCATCTCCAACAGCTCTGGAAATGAAGAAAGGGGAATATGTTTTCTAGAATCCCTTAGCATAGTTCGTGTGAGTTTAGTATGAGGTCTTTCTTACTTACATTTCTGAATGAACAAGAGGAAGTCTGGCAACTGTGAATAATCTGCCGGTCAGAAATAAATTCATCTGCCATTCAGCCTTAGTCAAAGAGTAAGAAAAGGTGCCTAGGTGGAATTAATTCCATATTCTGGCTTGAGTCGCAGTGGTAATCACCTCTAACTCCATGGAAGGTAGGCTTTATGAAATGGAGTGCAGAACTGGGCCCATCATACATACAGCCATCAATCTCAGGGCTGGTAAGCAAAAAAAGCATTTTTAGACAATGGCTATGGTTATCTTGGAGAGTCTGACCTCAGAGGGGTAAGAGATGAATCTTGTTGCCTGGCAAGAGCTGTAGTAACTGTACAGATTTGTAAATATGTCTCTGACATATGCATGACTTTATGCTTTTAATGCATTCTACACTATGAAATAACTTAGAATTTCTGTTGTAAACTATTTTTTTTGAAGCAGTTAAAAAAGAAACCCCAACAATGGATTTCACACCAAGCAACTTTATGGAGACTGTTAACTCAACTAAAACATATCATCTGTGATCCCATGGAAATATGCTGAAAAATAAACACAGGAATGTCCATTAAAAATATTGTTTAACTGAAAGGTACAAGTAGGTGTTGCAGCTCTGTGTAGCATCATTCAAAATGAAAAGTCAATTCTATTTGTCCTAGGAACAGAATGTGTAAAAATGAGACTCAAAATACAAACACAAATTGTACAAGGATCTTATCTGAGACCTAGAGACACTTGTTATTCATGAACCAGAAGAAAGTGTACATTAACATAATACTTTGGAGGTATTTAAATAAAACTCAAGTTACAAAAACACCAGGAAAGGAAGTGTGTGCTTGTGTTCTTGTGCAAATCATCCAGTTTACCCACAAGTTTATGGAGAAAAGATAGGCCTGTTACTTTCATAATTCTTGTGGAAGGCACTTTGATATTAAGAATATTAGTTAAAACATGTTTAGCTTAGACTGCCAGCCCAGTTCTGCTTTAGAACACCTACCCTCCTTTGCAGCATCATTTGTTTGTTTTCACAGTATCCACTTTACCAGAATGATTCAGGGAGTTTGGAAAACTAATAAACAGATGGAGATAAACAGCTCTTCAATGACACATTTGACTTAGACTTCCTTCTGTGTGGGAAACTTGGCTAATCACAGATAATGGGAGTGGCAAACAATATATATATATATATTATACAAAAAATACAAAATCTTAACATGATAAAGTCAAAATAGGGTAGGAGATAAATTAACTAGGAATCAAAGCTGAAACTGCCAGCTGCATGTTGAAATTAGGAGAGGAAAAAAAAGGGGGGAGTATCAGAAGTGCTTTTGTGGTGGTGACATCCAGCCATTGATCTGTGATAAAAGTCATATACCATTCTGTTCTAGGGAAATCACATATTACAACAGGCTGGTCAGAATTTGCCCACTGGAGTCAAGACTGAGATATGATCTCCCTTCCCTCTCCTTTCCTTTGTTAACCTATTAACTTGGCCCCCATCTCATACAGACCTTGTGCTGCTGTGTCTGGACAGAGACTACAAATTGACTTCAGCAGGCTGAAAAGTGACACTGTAGGGTGTAACATCACAGCTGCTGGCAGTGTTTGGGGGTTCAAACCCATGCAACCAAAAGGAGGTTGCTCCCCCTTGTACAGAAACACTGGGTTCATGCATTTTAGGTGTTTGCTAAGTTCTCAGGCTGAAATCCCCTCAATTTCTGTGCTTGTCCTAACAATATATACTTATTGTACTGTACTGCCTTATTGCTTACTGTACCTCAAAATCTATTATGCTGGAGATTTGTTGCTATGGGCATTGGACCCAGCATAGATTGACTTTTTTCTTCAATGATTTAACTTTTTTTTTTTATGCCAAATAATTTGCAATGCAATGATAAAACATAATACATATCTGTGAAAGATCAGAATAGGTAGCTATGAATGACCACTTAAAAATTACCCTTAATAAGAAATTTTTATACCATCATAAGGCTTGTCAAACTACAGGGTTTCTACCAGCTCAGGATAATACTTCAGTGTATAATCCTTTTTCAGATAAGTGATAGTGAGAACGGGACAAAGGCAGAAATCCCCTTTTTTATTTTCTTTTAAGTTAATGGACCTATAAAATTACTTCTCTGACTCCCATATTCCCATTTGAAAGAAAGCAAGTTCCATTACTTTGCAAAAGAATTTATCAGGAAGAAAAAGCACATTTGTTACTTCATGATGGTGAAAAGACTGACCCATGAGATACATCAATGGGAAGAAAAAGTTAAAAATAATCAAAGAAAACTTAGAAAGTTTTTCTACAGGAAAGGTTAGCATTTATAAACTTCAAAATTCGAACTCTCTACAGAATTTCATTTCCATATAACATCAGTACTTTAAGGAGAGAGAGGAGGGGAAGGAGGAGAGATGGATGCCTAAACCACTGACTATTTCCTTGCCAAAAATAAATAAATAAAAATGTATCTGTTTTTTTTAGTATTTTCTCCTAGGTACTGAAGAGGACTTAAGATACAAACCCCTGATTTGCTGGGGTGTGCAACCCAACTTACTTTGGCCATTTCTAACTTAACTCCTTTTTTGTATAGAGCTTAAACTCTCCACACTAGGTCATTCAGGTCTTGAGTCACCAGGAAAAAGAAGTCGCTGTTTAAAGCATGGCAGGCGACCAAAAGTTCAGACAGCTGCAATGAAGGATTAGTTGTGGGTTTTTCTCACTGCCTTGCTACAAACTGCATCACAGCTCTATGTTCAAACATTATTAAATGAGAATGTTTTCTCTGGCGCAGACTACTCCTCCCCACAGTTTAAGTATTGAATTTTTTTAACTGAAGTAGCTTTGGTTTACAGCTCACATTAGAACTTAAAAACATATTTCCATAGTAGCTGGCATATGCAGGCAACTGTTTATTCTCAGTACCAGCCATAATAAACACTTGTACTTTTATAATCCAACAAATCTTTGTCTAATCACAACTCCGTTTTCAGAGCTGTAAAATTTGCATGCTATTTTAACCATTTTTCACGAAGACTCTCTTGAAATGGAAACATTTTCTAAGCGTGCCTCCATTATCAATACAGACCAATAATTCGCTGTAAAGGATGTGAAGATAAATGGAGGGTATTGATGGCAACAGTCTACTGAGAAAGAACTCTGTAAAGCAGGACATGCTATCAGATTTTCAGGGGGGGTAGGTTTTCTGGAAAGTATGGAGAAATGACACCTCATTGATTGGATGGGCTCTTTGGGTGAATTAAGAACAGCAACTGACTAACTTTTGGGTTTATATTCTAGCATTCCAAAGCAGTAAAGCTCTGGAAAATGGAGCAATTTGAATTTGCTTTTGGCTCATGCCTTGTCAACAGAAGTAATGAAGGTCTGCTTGCAGGATTGCAATGCCAAATGAAAGGGCCCAGCAGGACATTTGTATCCCCATTGAATTTGCCAGAACTGATCATTCTCGAAGTATTTGTTGATTTTACTGGCAATAGGAATTGCCGAGGCACAGAGGTATGGAGCCTGAAATGCTCTTTTATGGGAGCAAAATTAAGCTTTGAGGAGAAAAATCACTACCATCCTTCTTCCTTTTTTTAATGAATGTTGCCATTTGTGAGGATGAATTCGCAAGGAGCCAATACTAGAAAGAATTGCTGTTGGTAAGTGTAGGCATTAATTTGAAAGGGACTATAGTCTTAGCAGATTCTGTGAAATGCACTGATTTTCAACCTGTGCATGTTCCTCCTTTACCCAAGCTTTAGTTCTTGCATAACAAAGACTGTCCTGACAGCCAGCGGTTGTGTTTTTCACCTAAACAAATATGCACCTCAGTGTGACAGGTTCTGACTCAGTTTAATCTTCAGCTTCCAAGCAGCTCCCCATCATGCAGGACCCCATTCAACAAGAAAACAAGCTCAGGACTCACATGCATGCAGCCCCCTGTGCTACAAATCTGCAAAAGACGGACTTCACCCTCCATCCTCCTCCAAGTGGCGACAGAACGACACGCAGAGGGAATTATTGCAGACTTGCTTGCAAGTACTGACAGAGCATCAGAGACCAACAGCAGCTACCAGAATAGCCAGCTTTGTCATTAGAAATGTGAGTAATTAAAAAGTGTAGCTGTACGGCTCTACAACAGGCAATACTACCGCCAAGGTGGACAGAGATACAGTACCAATGCTGCACTCAAACCTGTCATGTGAACACGGTGTGTTCAACACGATGATGTTTCCATGAGCATCAGCACCATACTGTAAACCTTGCCAAAAGTGGAGACAAATCTAAATATCCCATCATGCTAGGCAGAAGCTGCTGACAACTCACAACTGCAGGAATTTGGGGTGGCAGAAGGGAGGCAGGAATATTCCCACTGCCTCCCAAGAGGAGTTGGCAGGATTGGAAGAAGAGACACTAAGTTATTACAGTCACATGTAAATGTTGGCATTTAACAATAGCAGCAGGAAAAGAAAAATCACTTGAAAGAACCTGAGAATGCTGAAAAAAGCCACAATAAATACTGAAGAACTGGAAGAGGAGCTATTTCTCATTAGAAAAGAACAAGGGTTTGAGAACTGCTTGTACTTATTAAGATGGAAGTGGCTTGGGACTGTACGTTGTGGAAATGAAGAAAGCCAGAAAGAAAATCCACAGACACTTGAACAAAATGAAAAAGGGATCACGGTGCCATCTCACGAGGCTGCAAGAGTATCAGTTTCCTCCTCAAATTAAATCAAATGGTAGAGGACATCAGACTTACTTTAAGTAGGCTTAAGAAAAATGGATCACTGGCTGATGGACATCTTAGTAAACCATGAAATCCCCACCCGAAAAGGCACAATGGGAGGGGAGTTTAGCTGCAAGATCAAGAGGAA